TTCATCGTAGGCTTCGGAGCTGGCAACCGCAGCGTCTGTCGTGCTGACGTGGCCTCGATCACGACTATTAACCAGCGACTACCATACTTGACGCTGCTGGCCACTGTTGTGTTCCTCGGTTATGCTTTAACCCCGGGTCTTGGCAGCCTAGTGGCCAATACGGACTCGTACTTGTTGGGCGTTCACTTCAACAAGTTCACGTCTCCAGGGATGATTTTGATCGTGTTCAATCTGCTGACCATCATCGGTATGGTCACAGTATATGACGAGTCTGTTGGTGTCCACGATGGACCCCTCGAGTCCCCGAGAACTGCAGCTACAAGTAACACGCTGAGTGATCCGACGGCGATGCCCGAACGCATTGTGAACATTGGTGCAGCCGTCTTCATCTTCCTGAACTTCAACGCGCGTGGCATCTTGTCCGTATTCGAGACGGTGAACATCCCCTTGTTCATTGAGGCGACCGATAGCGACCCTGAAAGCGTGAGTGCCGTGGTGGCTGCATCCAATTTCCAGTTCTACCTCGGACTACTGGGGCTACTGTCGTACTTTTCGATTGAGCACTTCCGTCATAGTCTCAGGGATGTGAGCTGGGTGCAGCTCGGCTTTGCAACACTGTTAGCCGGCAATGTACTGCTCATTGTGGCGCCTACGCAGCTCTCTTTCCCACAGCTTGCGGTCGCTGAGTTCCTAGTGTGGAGCGTGGGTTGTCCGATCACAACCGCTGTGGTGTTGGCAGCGTTCTCCAAGCTGCTAGGGGGTCGACCTCAAGGCACACTCATGGGTCTGTTAGGCTCGGCGGCGTCAATCTCTCGTATTGTGCTCCCACTGCTTCCGGCGGCCATTCCTACACTTACTCCGGTCTTCTGGATCAACATTGTGCTATGTGCGAGTAGCATGGCGCTGCTGTGGTGGTACAGCACACTGGTGCACAAGACGAAGATGGCTATGCTTGCTGACGTTGAGAACGCGTTCCGGATCGTGTCACCTCCGAACGATCCTCGTTCACCACTGGGATCGGACAAGGCCGATTTCCCGGACAAATAACTGATTCGAAGTACGTCAATTCATTCTTTCGACACGCAGCATCTTAAACCCCTGCGACCGTAACACTGGGCAACTCGCTTGCTTATACTTCACGACGTAAATGTAGTCTTTCGTGTTATTGCACATGCCGTGAACAAAATTGCTGTACGCACGCGTTCAAGCACCGTTGACTTGTGCGTACAGCATTTTTCTCAATCTCTCTATTCCTCAACTTGTTTACAATGTAGGTAGTCTTTGGACTATTCAACAAATTGGATCCATGTCGACAGCTTCCTGGGCTGACAAAACTCCTCCACGCTGAGCTCAGATTGGCAAGTAGATCCTAGGACTGCGAACGCAAGCCACTTCTAATAATTTTAAGTTGATGCAGCAGTAGTTGAAGTTATGCCGCCAAAGCACCCACCGCGATCAATTTCTTGGATGGCTGTTCTTGGAAATTCCTCCACCAAGAGTTCAGGCATGTGTTCAAGCACAACTAGGCTGATTGCTGAGGTAGCATCTCCAGTAGAGATTCTACGATTGTGCCAGAGGGTTGACCTCAGCCGAGCAAGAATCGTTGCTGCGTACTTTAGCTCGCGGATTGGATCAGTACGAGACCAGCTGTGCATTGGCGTCGTCTCACAAACCAACAGCTCTCCACAGAGCTCCCAAGATACGTGAGCAACCGTTTAGAAAGCATCTATCGCACCGATCAATTTCACTGCGCAGATCATATGAAAAAAAATGATATCTTTCATGGCGTGCAGCTTCTGTGTGTTTTGTTGCAATTTTTCACTACGCTTTGCATTTACCAGATGTGGTTGACACACACCTCGTCGCTCATCTAAATGAGGACGTGCAAACTACAATCTGTCAAAATGAGGACGGGCAGTTTTGAAGTGCTTCGCCGTGTTTGTGATGAGGACGGGCAATCTATTTGTCGGCTGTCGAAATGAGTAGTCTTGAATTTTGAGTTGGTTTATAACGAACATGCCCAACTCCACTAGCACAAATATATCAACGCCCACTACAAGTTCTAAATGTATCAACAGACTCAAAATTCGCTCTAATACTTATGCACATAGCTCTAAATTTCATAGTCTACCTTTGTAAAAAAAGGCCCTTTTCCTTTCTCATACGCATACCTCATCTAAAGTGTTTGATAGCGCTGAGTGAGGAACTACTGCAGTGGCAGCGAGCATGAGACTCAATCGGAACGCAGCTGTTTCGTCCTACGAATGGCTTTGTGCCGCCACCGATCCGCAAAGATACTCAGCCGGAATCAATGCAGCCTGTCTGAGTCGGACACTCACTCACCCCGCTGCGAAAATGGAACAGCTGAAGGTAGATGCCCGAAGCAACCGGCATATCTTCCCTCCTGTCGGTTGGTATCCGGTGAACAAATGCTGTCACGTCAAAATTATCTACTACTAGACAACATGTTGCAACTAGTGAGCTAATGCGTCACACCAGGGCGGTTCTGTTTAGTTCTGTTTAGGCTACAATGGCGTTCTTTGTATTGGATGGAGGCAACGCTGGGTTATGGTAAACTCCTCTTCCACCACTGCGATACCACCGGCAATTTGCTGGAGGGGCGATACATTGGTTGTGAGATACAATGAGCACCTCCTCAGAGAAGGTGCTAGGGGAAAAGCCAAAACCACTTCAAGCTCCGAAAAACGTTGCGCTCTGGCCGTGAGGTGCGACCTCTACAATTGTTAGTACAATTGTGGTTTCAAACCCATGATTTATTCGTCGTTCTGGCATACCTAAACTACATATCGTCTTCACTGACGTAGATCCACGATGGTAATTTTTAACAAACGAAACGCTCTGCCACTCGACCGGCTCGGTTTCACGGGCGTGAAGTGCGTGAAGTGCATCAAGACTATCGCACGAAGAAAAGGGTTCTGTCGCCTAGTCCACCGGGAGCTCACTCACCCCGCTTCTCCTCAAGATCGGACAGTTGGCTGGGGATACCGGCGAGAGCACCTAATCCGCCTCCAAATGGCCTCAGAGTCACCACCTCGAACTACCGAACCAAACTCAATGTAGTGTACTCTGCCCCTGAACGCACAACTTTCATTCAAAAGCTCGCACGGCTCGGCGATCCGCTCCTGGCAAAAGCTCACTTCCGATTTTCCTAAACCGACGCCGCAACGACGCCCACCTCCACATCACCATGGTGTGCCAAGCTCTGTCTTCTAGCGGTGCCACTTCCTACGGCTCTGCTTCCAATAACCCGGAGTCCGTGCAGCTCCTCAAGCCATCGCAGTCAACGCCGTCGCGCCGACTCGGGCAATGGTACACCAACATGTTCATGATCAATTTCCTGGAGTTCGCAACCGAGTCGTCGCGTGGTATCGTGTTGCCTACGCTCTTCTTGTACACGTCGTCTCTGGGCGGCGACCTTGCCTTCATGGGGTTCATCAACGCGCTCTTTTCGGTCGGTCGTCTATTCTCGAGTACCGTGTTTGGCTGGATGTGCGACCGGTACTCGTTCCGCTCCGTGTACCTCATTTCGACCTTCATTTGCCTCGCGGGCAACATCATCTACCTGGTTGCCGACCAGCACATGACCGGCAGCTTGACAGCGCTGGCATTCAGTCGCTTCATCGTAGGCTTCGGTGGTGGCAACCGCAGTGTGTGCCGTGCGGACGTCGCTTCCATCACAACGATCAACCAGCGCCTGCCGTATCTGACGATTCTGGTCGGTGTTGTGTTCTTGGGCTACGCACTGACGCCGGGTCTCGGCAGCCTCGTGGCCGATACTGATCTGCTCTTTTGCGGGGTGCATTTCAACAAGTTCACGTCGCCCGGCATGATCCTGATCTTACTGAATGTGCTGACGATCTTTGGCATCATGGCAGTCTACGACGACAGTGTAACAGTGCACGACGGCCCGGAGGACGAGGAGTGTGAAGACGACCCGAACAGCAACACGCTCAACAACCCGACGCAGATGCCGGACCGCATTGTGAACATCGGCGTGTGCGTGTTCATCTTCCTGAACTTCAACGCGCGTGGCATCCTGTCGGTGTTTGAGACAGTGAATGTACCGTTGTTCATCACCGCGACGGACAGTGATCCCGAAAGCGTGAGCGTCGTGATGGAGGCGTCGAACTTCCAGTTCTACCTCGGCTTGCTGGGTCTGCTGTCGTACTTCTCGATCGAGTACTTCCGCCACAGCATTCGCGATGAGAACTGGGTACACCTGGGCTTTGGAATGGTCCTTGCGGGCAACATTCTGCTGGCCATGGTACCGGAAAATCTGACATTCACGCAGTTGTCGCTTGCCGAGTTCTTGGTCTGGAGTGTGGGCTGCCCTATCTCAACCACGGTGGTGCTGGCGGCGTTCTCGAAGCTGCTGGGTGGGCGTCCACAGGGCACACTCATGGGATTGTTGGGCTCGACTGCGTGTATCTCACGCAGTGTGCTTCCGCTGCTGCCTGCGGTGGTGTCGACGCTGGAGCCGGTCTTCTGGATCAACATTGTGTTGTGCGCGACCAGCATCGCACTTCTGTGGTGGTACACTGGTCTGGTTCACCGGACGAAGATGGCGATGCTGGCGGACGTCGAGAGCGCGTACAGAGTAGTACCGCCTCCGAACGACCCTTGCTCGCCATTGGGCTCGGCCGACGTCCCAGAGAACGACTGAAGCACTTGGCGTGATGTATCCCTCATAACTCGCCATGCTCGATCCACATCTACCTCGAACTTGAAAATATTCATTCATAACACTCTTGATAATACGATGATGGTATTCATGAGCAATATTAGTGTGCGCGTCGATGTATGGAATTTTATTTTAGAAGCATACTGAAACCAAGATGCGGGTCCCCGGAAAACATAGTCCCTCACTGATACGCCTCATCGGATACAGATGCCGCGGCCGCAGCTCGCTGGTGGCCCCAACTATGGTACGCTGGAGACGACGCCCAATGCCCCGCCTCGCCGCCTATCGCAATGGTACACCAACATGTTCATGATCAACTTTGTCGAGTTCGCAGCCGAATCCTCGCGCGGCGTCGTGTTGGCCACACTCTTCCTCTACACCAAGTCGCTGGGCGGAGACCTGGCCTTCATGGGAATGCTCACGTCGCTCTTCTCAGTGGGGCGTCTCATCTCGTCCACAGTCTTCGGCTGGATGTGCGACCACTACTCGTTCCGCTCGGTGTATCTCGTATCGTCGGGTATCTGCCTGGTGGGGAACATCATCTACCTCATCGCGGACCAACATGTGACTGGCAGTTTGACAGCGTTGGCAGCCAGTCGGTTCATCGTAGGCTTCGGAGCTGGCAACCGCAGCGTCTGCCGTGCTGACGTGGCCTCGATCACGACTATTAACCAGCGCCTCACATACTTGACGATGCTGGCCACTGTTGTGTTCCTCGGTTATGCTTTAACCCCAGGTCTTGGCAGCCTAGTGGCCAATACCGACACATACGTGTTGGGTGTTCACTTCAACAAGTTCACGTCTCCAGGGCTGATTTTGATCATCTTTAACGTGTTGACAATTGCTGGCATGTTGACGTTGTACGACGCATCTATTCAGACTCATGATGGTCCATTGGAGTCCCCACAAGACGCTGCAGTGAAAAAGACTCTGAGCAACATAACGACCATGCCAGAACGCATCGTGAATATCGGTGCAGTGGTTTTTATCTTCCTAAACTTCAATGCACGCGGCATCTTGTCTGTGTTCGAGACAGTGAATATCCCGCTGTTTCTCCAGGTAACGGGCAGTGATCCGGAGAGCGTCAGTGCAGTAGTGGACGCGTCCAATTTCCAGTTTTATCTGGGGTTACTAGGACTGCTGTCGTATTTTTCGATCGAGTACTTCCGTCACAGCATTTCTGACGTAAACTGGGTACAATTAGGATTCGTGATGCTGCTGTTAGGCAACGTGATGCTGGTAGTGACGCCTGCCAGCTTATCATTCCCACAACTGGCAGTGGCCGAGTTTTTCGTGTGGAGTGTGGGTTGCCCCATTACGACAGCGGTTGTCGTAGCCGCGTTCTCAAAGCTGCTGGGTGGCCGGCCTCAAGGAACGCTCATGGGTTTGCTTGGCTCTGCGGCCTCGGTATCGCGCATCATTCTGCCTTTGCTTCCCGCTGCTATTCCTACACTCTCCCCTGTCTTCTGGATCGACATTCTGCTGTGCACCTTCAGTATTTTGTTGCTGTGGTGGTACAGCCGACTCGTGCACAAAACGAAGCTGCAGATGCTGGAAGATGCAGAAATTGCATTCCAGTTGCTCTCGCCTGGAAACGATCCTCGATCGCCTCTGGGCTCTGACAAAGTGGATTTCCCTGACAACTGAAGCATTAATTTGTTAATCGATTTCAGACAAAAACTTTGGTTTGACGATCTATTCGAGCTACCAGCCATGTCTACATATTGACAATCCTAGCTTAGCGCGTAGACGAAGGCTTAACTTCGCCAAATTGCTGGTGGCCTGTAGCTTCTGAATGCGAAAGTGCTTCTTTCTGTAAAAAAAGGCAAATATTGTGAGCTGAGCGACTTCAAAGACCAGTATAAAACCAAACTTACCTGTCCGACAAAGGTACTTCTGCACACCAAGCACATGATGCTGAAGCGACTGACGTCGGTGAACTCGTGCTTCTGATGAGCTTCCACGGCGACTTCGCTAGCACGTTCCACCTGCATAGCAAGCACATTAGTGATAGAATACTTACACGGCTTATCTGCCAAATCCCACCTTGGAGAAATCATTAATCGCAAAGAGCGTCACGTCCTGACTCTCCGAAGCTGTCGCGGAAGGGGCCTCAACAACCAGGTCGTAGTGAATTCCGTCGTAGAGCAGGAACAGTCGCTGTGTGAAGCCTTGGTCCTCACCATAACACAACCGACTCATACTCGTGACGTCAAAGACGACCATCTCCACCTTGTAGTATGTCGAAAGGATAGACAGCTCGATCTCGCCGCCCCACGACTTGTCGTCCATAATCCACGCGCAGTATTCGTACACGGGACGTCCCAGAAACACCTCCGAGTACTTTTCCGGGTCTGCGAGGATCGTGTCCTTAATGAGTTGCCGCATCACGGGACCATTTCCTTCTCTCCCCTTGCCCAGAGCATATCCGATCGAATGAAACAGGCAACTGTTGTCTGCCGGCATAACGCGCCGCATAAAGACGGATTTTGTCTTAGATTGTGCAGCGCTATTCTCTGGAGCCTCCTTGAGGACAAGTACTGAGCCTGTTCGAACCCCCAAAGACGTCAGAGTACTCTCCTGCTCAATGAAACAATCAAAAAGTATTCGTAAGATGATAATAAGCGATTTGTGATGGTAATAATTACTCCCACGTACGCCGGATCCCTCGATCATTTTTGGGGGATACCCTGTCATCACTGGATAGACAGAATATGGTTAAAGAGGAGCAATCGACTAGAAAGAAGGAATGATACACTGGAAGAGTGTGGCACTTACCGTGCTGCTCCTGCGGCAGGATGGACGTCTTCTCGAATAAATGAGCGCGCAGGCCGTCCAGTGTGATGTCGTCTGGTAGCCCCATGAGCTTCATGGACGTGCCATTTGCGAATGTCACCTTAAAGTTCATCGGCATCTTCGATACGTGTTTTTCTAAGTTGGTGTGTCGTTTTGCAGCAATAATTTCTCCATTGTACACAAATTTTACATGAAACCCGATTCTGGATTACTAAACAAAACATGGCTACAACAAGGTTAGAGAAAAAAAAAATTGGACGATATCCAGGCAAACCAATTCATTATTGTTGTTTCAGACTGCTGGGGTATAGCAGCTACCTTAGTAGCTAACTACATTTGAGTCTCTTTAACAGACGATCAAAAAGCAAGTCTGCTCATTTATCGGCGCGAGCTCGCTTCTTTTCAGCTCCGTCGACACTCAAAACTTCTCCAAACTGCTCCTTCAGACGGTGAAGCTCCTTCTGATGGTTTACTAGCATTTTCTGCTGCGCCAAAAAGCAATCGCGGGTTTTCGTGATCGCCACAAACGAGTTTCCGTCAATTTCGGCAGCTTCCAATTCGAATGAACACTCAACTTGCTCCTTGGGCGTGTGCTTCGCGGCATAGTTCTTGGCCTCTTGGAATTCCTTAAATTTCTCCACACCTTTGGTAGTCATGGACTGCTCAGGACCTCGAAGAAACTCCTCAATCTTTTTGTTCTCCGAGAACTTTGCGGCCGGCATTTCCCACGAAAATTTCTTGTCCAACGATTTAATTTGATCCTCCAACCACTTCACTCGCAATGGCACAACCGGATCCAAAACAGCGCTCTTTACATCGTTTCCGGTATTACTCAAATGCTGCGATAAGTATTGAATCGAGGGACCAAGTAGACTCGTCTCAGCCTCTCGGAATTTATTGGCAATCGTTTCGAGATGTTTTTTGTCATCGCTGTGGATAACCCACTTCCAAAGCAATCCAATAGACTTCGACGTGAATAGCTCCTTGTCAGCCATTTGAGTCGCAATTTCAACACTCTTCTTGACTAAGGCCTGCTGAGCGGTGCCGCTAGCCAGACCATCGATCACGCGTAATGTCATTTTCAATGATGATAGACCAGCGTTTATTTCACGACCACGACCATCATCATCTTTTTCAACACCAGAACCCAACGCCTTCAAAACAGAGTCTCCAATGTCTGACCAGTCGAATGTGCGCACTATTGCCGTGATTGGTGGAATGAAAGCCTCGTTGTCTTCTACTCCGCCAAGTGCTCCACAGTAAGTTGTGAAAAACGAGTTCACGGCCTTCGGATCTCCCGTTCCAGCGAGTAGTTCGCAAACCAGACGGAAAAATTTCGTAGAGAACACTTCACGCTTTTCTCCATACTTCTTTTTCTTATTTTCGGTTTCAATCCTGGCACTTGCACCCTCCAAGAATTTGCTAACTTCCTCAGCAGACACTGGCTTACGGCAATGCAAAGCTTCAGCTGCAACATCCATGGGCATAAACTTCAACGCTTTGTCCGAGTGCTTAGTTGCTGGCCAAGCCACAATCGCGTATCGCGTGTATGTTGACACTGTTTTAGAACTCTCATTGCCTACGTACCCACCTCGTTTGGTCATCTTGCCGTACGCCGTTAAACTCCAAATACTTTCAAGCGCTTCTTGTCCAGGGTTAAGGATATTCAGCTTTTCAGTCGAATGCGCGACCCTACCGAGGTCTTTACCTGTTCTTGTGAACCATGTAGCGGAGTCATTATGACCCGTCTTCTCGTAGTCATAGCCGCCACAATTATAGCTAACATCATGTTGTAGCTGCACGATGAAAAACAGCAATTTCTTGTCCTCAGGAACAAGCGCATTGGCTCCATCAAGTGCGTGAAATCTCGCACTATCCACCCCCTTTAAAGCCCCCGATCCCATGTTTCGGATACTGTTTTCCGTGTACTCATGAGCCAGCAACAATGCAAACGAATCGTCATCACCTTTCATCTTGGCAATAGCATTGGCTAGCTCTTCAGTTAGAGGTACATCGTACTGTCTTTCCAAGTGACGCATTGTTGGTGGTAAGCAAATAGAGTACACCAGAGCGAGACGATATCCTTTGGTCACTTTCTCCAGAGCATGTTCAGCATCAGCATAGTGAACAGCGTAGTGTGGCTGGTATGCAGCAGAATTGTCGGCCTTCCCAAAATCATGACGATACTTTACTTCTGCATCTCGATACACAACCAGATCTCCGCCTTGGTGCATACTTGGAGGTTGCACCACTAACGTTGCAATCATTCCATCTTCCTTTTCCGTGTCCTGATGCTTGACAAAGTGGCCTCCTTCGCCATACACTAGCAGCTTGTATAGTAGACATTTGAGAGGAATATCCTTGTATCCCAAACGGGAAGCGATGGTCTTACTCAGGTTCTCAATGCCGGTTTGCCATAGTGGGTTCTTAAATTCGATCAGGTTTGGTTGCAATTGCCAGCTCTTCCGGACATTGTCGTCCAGCTTCGTGTCCATATTGTGGCCGAACGGAGACTTTTCACATAGTGCGATGAGTTTTTCAGCTTGTTCGGCGTATAACGGGGTTGAAATGGCACCTAAGCCGTCAACAAATAGTCCAGGTGCGACGGGCAATGTATCAGCAACTCCTCCGAACGAGAACTCCCCCGCTTCACCATCCGCACGAGCAAGCAGCTTGCTCACTTCAGCGGAACCAACTCCTGAAGGAGCCAAGATGTCTTCTGGTCCACCTTCACAGCCAAAAGGCCACTCCTCGTCTTCAAAGTCTTCGTCCATTCTCGGGTAGTTCGGTGTCGACTGGGATAAATGAAAAATGAAGAATACTGGCCAGCCAACGCTTCAAATACTTGTCGACACCTTTCAATCAGTCCCTTTCCGTGAGTATGAAAGGAAATTACCCTGAAATCATGACTGTTATCGACCACCGTACTTCGAAATACTAAAATTTGAGTTGTTGTGGACAGCTCAGACAACTTGTCCAAAACATTTGGGTAAAGATCACTAAGAAATTGCATTCCAATGTGCAAGCCTCACTTTGTAACTTTCTCTTTTTTTTGCGAGTAAAATGGTGTAGTTGTCTAGGCCGGTTCTTGAACGTGGTGGTCTCATCAGTCTTTTTTAAACCATGAGGAGATTTTCGACGTAATTTTTGCCTTCAGAGCGTTCTCTTCCTTGCTGGACTCCACAGCCTCGTCAACGACGTCCACAACAGAACTGGGGGCACCGAGGTATCGCTCTTCAAAGGAGCCAATACCGGGCACAATGTGACCTTCACTGTTGAGCCTCGAGTCAAACGAAGCGGTCACTAGTCGAGCGTCATCGAAAGCCTAGCCAGTTGCATTAGGAAGAAGTTTAGCGTAAAAAATAAAAATAAAAACATAACTAAAAGCGTAGCGAACCTTGCAAAATCCGTCTGCACCTTCGGGACAAGTGACGAGGGTCACCACTGTAATTTTATCTTCTTCGACACCTTGCTGCATCAAAAGCTACAAATTACCCCTGTATCATTAGCACTCTCCAGCACAAACCAGCAAACACGCGATCGTACATGGATAACTTTGTCAATTTGGGAAACCGACGCAAGCTCTGGCAACAGCAGCAACACTTCGTGGCCATCTAAATCTTCCGGAAGAGTGGCCTTGGCAATCTGGCCATTAAAAATAAGACTTGTAAGCCAAAATCTTCGAGAGAGTATGCTTTAAAGAATGATGATTTACCTTGTTACCGCCCTTGGCGTCCTCTTGCACCAAAATCTCACCGTATTTGGCATCATACGGCAGAGAAGTTCGAAGAACCTGTGCCAAACTGTGTATTCGCACAGCGAATTAATATCAATAACGATTGCCAAGTAGCAAAAGCTGCAGCTATTTCGCCTTACCCCTTTTGGGCCTCCGGATTCACGGCAATACTGATGCCGCACACCTTCACGTCGTCCTCAAACATGAGGCCCTCAGCTTTATACCCACGCGGCGTTGTCACAACAGACTAATGCGCTCCGACGTCAGTCGACAATTAGACACAACAAAGGTAAAACCACTCGGTACCTCTTCGTCGCTCGGGAGCTCCGTTAGCGCCAAGTCCAACGTCGAACGCAGAACCCCATTCGCGTCATGAGTGAATTTTGCACCTGCATACAAGCCACAGTCAGTTTTAACAGCGGTGTACTCACATGTATGCGGTGCGCTCACCAGCGTTCTCGTAGTCGCGGATCCTCGTCATGCCGAGCTGAATCAACTCGCTCTCTAAGTCCAGCACCACCACATTCTCATGCTGCAGCCAATGAACATCAGTGTCTCAGTATTCGTATCACCCAACCTGTGACTACAGCCACTGACCTGCGCTTTCCAGAGCTCGAGACGGACTCCTCGCCCCAGTGCCTCTCTGCAGGCACAAATCAGGCGTAAAATCTTGAGATACCCTCTTTAATTCCTAATTTTTGTTGGCTTTTGTACCCGCTGGCATACACACGCTGCTCCGCATGTGCTTGCTGCTGCGATAACAGCATGGGGGCGCCCATGAGCGCCGCCGCGCCCAGCTTCGCGTGACTCCGTACAGTTCGTAGAAACATCACCTCGTTTAGTCGAAAAGGTTGCCAAGTGTTCAGGCTCAGGATCCACCACAACCAAACGACGTTGTTTCATTGGTTGAAAATGACAGCTTCAACGAAAATGTAGCCATGTTGCGTGAAGGGTCACGATGGACACCATTCCGCACTAGGAGGTCATGCTGAAGCGGGGCTCACTGACGGGAGGATCCTCTCGGCGCAATGGATGGGCAGACAGTGTGTCGGAGCGAGATTCATCCCCACGATCTCGCTCATCGTCGCCCCGACTGACGCGAAGAAAAACGAAAAAGAGAGACAGCAGCGCCTGGGAGTCGAGTGATGGAGCCGTGCAGGACAAGAAAGAAAGGCTCAAGAAGGCAGGAAGGATGAAGCGAGCTCCATTACTCGATTACCCCATTGTAGAGGCTGTGTACAGCGCCATGGCGGGGCAAGCGCAACGACGAGCGAGTCGTTATTGGCTCGATCAGTTCGCTAAGTACGAGGATACAAGGCGACCTGGAGTGATCAAGGCTGATAAGTTTACGAGGTGTTTGAATAAAATGGGGATCCAGCTAAACAAAAGGGAACACTATGAAGCACTCGCGGACTGTTTTAAGGTAAGAGACGGAGAAGGAGACGACACTAACAGCGCGAATAACAATAAGGAGAGAGCGACACAACTCGTCGACTACGCTGCATTTGTCGACTTTGCGTGCAACGTTCGAGACTCAGAAAAGCTGAGTGAAATCTCAGATTCACTGCGTGAAAGTATCTCGAAATACGACGGGAAGAAGCACTCGTCAAGTTCTTATAACCTGGCAACAGGACTTGAAAAACTCGATCGACACAAAAGAGGGTGGATCACTTCGACGCAGTTTAAGCGAGCCCTGCAACGTGAAGAAGGACCATCATTTGACCTATCTGCATCCCAGATTAATACTCTCGTGGATCGCTTTGAATACGAGTACGAAAAGAAGCAGCTTGGTATTGACTATATGCAGTTTGCACAATGGCTACAGCCGCTTCTTCATCTCGATGTGAAGAAGGTTCACGAACGAGTGAAGCTACTGATTGAAGACGCAGGATTAAAACATGGTTGGAAATTAGAGGAGGTTTTTAAAGCAATGGATGATGACAAAGATGGAGAGATTGGTGCAGTGGAGTTGAAAGAAGCTCTTCTGGAAATGGGTCTTCCACTAACAGACGCGCAGATCCGGTGCTTGACGGACGAATACGATATCGACGGGGACGGTAAAATCCAGTACAATGAATTTCTCTCCTTATTTACGTCGTCTGGTAAGAAACGGGTAGAGATTAAAAAGAGGAAAGGTGGTAATCAAAGTGATACAGAGAGCACGACGAGCAGGAGAAACAGACCCAAGCGGAATGTCCGGAACTCGTTTAGCTGGGGAATCACGAAGGCGTTTGCACGGAAGCAAGCAGCAAAAAGCGACAGCAGTAAGAGTATGACTGACAAACGCCGTGCGAAAGATGAAACATCACCGTCTTCAGAGGGAGATAATAGTGAAGCAACAGTTAAGAGGAAACCCCCACGGCGGCGACAGGAGCGAGATGAAACTTCGAGTGAGGAGGCTACTGAAAAGCGGACAATGACAACGAAACGGAGAAGTCGGAACCAACACTCGGACTTTGACGAAGCAAAACGTGTTAGTAGCTCTGCCTCAGACAACCAAAGTAGACAGAATTCTACAGCTAAATCCAGACGCAATATGGTTAGCAAACGAACTGCTCGGTTATCCTCAACCGAGACCGAGCAAGAGGGTTCAGGCCGCGAACAAAGAAAGAGACGAGAAAGCAGAACTAAACGCAAGGTCAAAGAGAAGACTACAAGTTCTAGAAGTGACGAGGAAGGTAAAGCACAAGACAGCAGTATCTCTGACGCTCCCAAGCGCTCGTTTAAAGAACGATCTAGTTTACGAAACACTGATAAAAGTTTTAGAGAAACGCTGAAAAGGGGTCGTAGTAGGAGATCGGCTTCAAGATCAGCTCCTAGATCTCGCAGCCGCCAAAGATTGTCACGAAGACACTCACATCACCGTCGTACAACTTTAAGCCCACGACGAAGACGTAGTGTCAGTAGGTCACGGTCAATGCGATTGCGACGATCTACACGTAACAATTCTGCGTATGATAGCGAAGAAGGCGACAACCCTGGTTTCTCAGACAATAATGACTCGTCATCCGGTCTGGATGTCGATGAACTACGCCGATTCCAGCGAGCAAAAGGTCCACGCACTATCCGGAGACGTAGCTATGTCCCGAGTATGTATGGTGACGAGACTGACGAAGAACCTGATGAAAATACTTGGGATGACTCGGAAAACAGTGAGACCGAAGACGGCGGAGAAGAATGGAGCCGATCAGACGAAGAATATCACAAACATCTCAAGCGCTCACTCCGTCGAGCGTTTGACTTCTTCGATCTGGATCAGACTTCCACTATAGACAAACGCGAGCTTAGTCACGTGCTACGAGCTTTAGGTCATGAATTTACTACGAAAGAACTGGAAGCGGAAATGGCGAGCGCTGACCTGGATCGGAACGGGCAACTGGACTTCCACGAGTTCGTGGCGTTCGTGAAGAAACAACTCGCCAAGAAAACGTATTTACTGTCCCAGCAACGCGAAATGGAAATCCGCCAGTCCTTCCAGTCACTTGATACCGATAAAAACGGTGCTTTGGACGAGCAAGAGTTCGAGTATCTGATCTACAAAGTGTTGCAAGTGGAACTTTCGATCGAGGAGCAAGCTGCTCTGCTGGATTTTGTCGACAAAGACGCCGACGGTTTAATCAGTGAAGAGGAATTCATTGCGTTTATGAAGGAGTTGGAGACTCTGAACCGTAAATACAGTGGCAAAGGTGGTTGGAAAAAGCAGAAAGAGTTCATAGAATCTCTCGACGGCATCTCACAGCTGGCGTACTCTGCAATGAAGAAGCTTGTGCGTGGTGCTCCAATGGACATCGATCGAAGCTTGCTCATGTTCTTCGGTATCCCTTCCAACTTCCGTCCAGCGATCTCGTCGGCAGCCACGTGCCGTACACTAAAGCGCAACACAATGGAGCACGTTCTTTCATTCCCTTCACCTCAAACCATCGAGGCTTTGGCACTAGACACCAGAGTGGGTGACAAGAAGTCGTGGTTTACACTAAATCGTCTTGATACAAACAGCGAAGAATATCGAATGCTGCAAATAGCGGAAGGCGTAGAGGCTCAAGCGATTGTATCACTGAAGAGAGCAGCCGGTGTACCAAAACCTTTCGACACGAGAGAAGACGATGTAGTGAAGCGCTGCGTTCATGTGTGTTTATTTCAAGAGCTAGAAGTAACTTCTGCTACCGCTAGGCGTCGAAGAGAGGCCACGACTAAAGCAAATGGCTTGAAAGTTACAGGGACTGTGGTGGGGAATGTGCATGAAATCCCCGTGTATTGGCATCAGGGAGAAGAGGACGTGTGGGAATTCTCAAAGAAATCCACCAAACAGGACAAGTACAAGTTCCTCGTGCGTACAAACGCCGTGAATGATCATTTGTACTTGCTGGTAGAGTTTATTGTTCATCTCAGATTAAGCCCTGAAGAGCATCAGGCAAAGAAGAAGCGCTCTAAACGTCGGATACCAGCTCAGGATCGAGATGACAGTGGCGACGAGAGTAGTGTGGACGCAGAAACGCGAGAAATGGTGTGCTGTTGGTGCAAGATCCCAGTCCGACAATTGCTGGCTAAACGCTCTGGAATTTTACGTCGAAAAGAAAAGTTGTGGGGTGGCACTGCAAACGCCCCGGTGGATATCGAGCAGGACGAATTACTCCGACGACGAACTGGGTGGCGCGCTGTCACGAACATGTTCACGAAGCCATCTCCTCCACTCATGGGCATCAAAAGCGTGCCTATTGTTGCTTTATCTGAAGATCTTCAACTTTATGTCCGGAAAATGCCGCCAATTGTGATAGCGCCGTTCGTGTCACTTCCGATCCTGGCCGAGTATATGTCACTCGTGAGGAAAACTCTCGCCTGCGTTGCCAGCTCCTCATCAGGTATGATCAATTAGCCTTATCCCTGTGTGTGAACTATATTCTGAACTTGTTGCTGGTGTAGTGGTGACATGCGAACCTGCTCTCAAACTGTTACCGAAAATTGTGGACGACCACGTCGCGCTGTCAATTTTCCGGAAGGCGTTTGACTCGGAAGTGGCAGGAATGAAATCTGGCGAGGTAAGTTAACAATTGATACACTAAGTAACCCATTAGAAACTTACTGACGCCCAATGTGTTATTCTATAGGAGCGGCAACAGAAGTTTCAGCAGCTTGTGCTTCGCATGTGGCCGTCGTTCGTGCACTGGCAGGAGCGACTCCCTCCTTCGCTCTTGCCTCCAGTCAAACTACCTGGCTTGGCTCCAAACTCCAAAGCACCAGCTAGTATCCCACCGAAAGGCGTATCTGCGACTACCGCCACTGCAGATGAAGAGGACCCTCAAGTGGCAGCTCAAATGAGACTCAACTTGTTGCAGACTACGGCATCGGGGTACGCATTTTGTTTTTGCACTCCAATTATTATAAATATTTCCAATAATTCACTAACTTCTATGGCACTTATCTGCAGCAAACTGCGCCTACAAGACGTCCGCGTGACGTCCACGCCTTTCCACGTGCGTGAAGTTGCCTTCCGCCGCTTGTTGTAGTTGCTTTTATGTATTCTACACAAATATATCCATGCTTTTGTATCCACGTATTTCCAGCCAATCAGAAAACTGTATCCATCGCACATAAAACGTGTGGCCATGATGTCATCTTCGAGCCATGCGTGTCATCCGCCGCATTCGCAGACTTGTCGAAGCGTGGATCGTGTATCGCTGGCGAACAGCAGAGCAAAGCATGGAGATCCTACGTGGCCCCGTGGACGGCGTCGCCCACAGCGAGAACTTCCCCGTTAATGGCTTCCGTCTCATGGTGGCGCTAGCGGGTTGCAGCCTTGTGGCACCCCTTATCCATCTTACGCGCGGCGAGACGTCCCGTACGATCATGGCTACAACGTCCAAATGAAGACTATGTTCATATTTAATGTCGATACTTTTTGTGCATCAGGCCATTTGTTCAATGTAGCAGCGGGACTATTCGCCGGTGTCTTCGTGTTTGACACCGCCGTGCTGCACACTATCGGCACAGCCATTGTGGTGTATCTGCTCATGATGGTAGCTCCAAGGTGCGGCGGAGCTACAGCAATATCGAGGGACAAAATGTGTTTTATGTAGAAAAAATTTGTTATTTTGTGACGTAGGAAGCTAGTTGGGCGCATTGTGCTGCCGTTGCTGTTGACGTACCTTGTGGGAATGTGAGTGAAGACTTATCAGCGTCTTCAAGGTATTATGTGTAAACTCATGATCAATTTTTGTGTTTGTAGTCACTATTACCGCGAATTCTACAGCCCGGACATTGTGTGGGACTCGGCCCAGATGATCTTGACACTGAAACTTAGCAGCGTCGCTATCAACTACAGTGACGGCGGTCTGCCCAAGGAGAAGAAGACTCCCACGATGCTTAAAAACGAGCTGCAAGAAATCCCAGGGCTGATCCCGTACTTTGGTGGGTAGTAAAGACCTGACAAGCTCATTAATTTGAGCTTACTGGACTGAGTGATGATGCTCGTGTACAGGCTTCATTTTCTTCTTCCCGACCTACTTGGCTGGCCCTGCTTTCGAGTACAAGGACTATATTTACTGGATGAAGGACATTCGTTTTGCTCCGTTTATGGTACACCTCCGCAATCTCTTCGTCATTGTAGTACGTTGTTTTGCATTCTACCTGTTCTATATTGTAATTGCATGATTAAATTCGGTGATTTGTTATGCTACTGTAGGTTTCGGCTGCTGGGTTCTTTGCTTCGCTCCAGTTCCCAGTCGATGAAATTGACTCCCCAGATTTCTACCCGGAATCCTCGTGGGCTGTGCGCTGCCTCCGCATGTGCATTCCTGTCGTGCTCTTCCGTTTCCGCTTCGTAAGTGCCTTCTTTTTACAGATCTGTTTGCTGGTACATAATACGCTAATTGTGCTTGATGCAAAGTACCTTGCGTGGTCGCTGGCCGAAGCGGCGAGTGCTGCTGCTGGCGTTGGCTATGTGCAGGCTACTGGAAAATGGTGCGTATTCTTGCAATCATACCGATGTGTTTTTGTCTACGAAGGGTGTCATATTGAACTTCTGGACGCGTCTGATTGAATAGGAACGGCATCACGAACAACGATCTGCTTTGCGTGGAGCTTCCGACCAATTTCCGTGTTGCTATCAACAGCTGGAACATAGGAGTTGCGCGGTGGATTAACACTTGCACGTCAATTATCTTCTTTCACGCTGCGAATACGCTTGACTTATTAAATGTTCTCTTTCTGAGCAGACATTTACCAGCGAGTCGGTCTGACCAAGTCTGGGAAGTCTACTATGCTGTCCACGATGGCTTCATTCTTTGTCAGCGCTCTGTGGCATGTACGTTCAATAATTTTTATATCCAAATCGTTGCTGTAGAATACTAATGCACTGTTTTACCACCACAGGGACTGTCGCCTGGGTACTACCTGTTCTTCCTCTTGGGTGGCATCTACATCGAAGTTGGAAAGCGTGGGTCTCCGCTCATATCCAGCATATCCTCACTTGAGTACACTGACACCATTTTTGCAACTCTTCCATGTAGACCTACGCCGTCGTCTGCGCTCGTACTTCCACTACACCGAGGATCGCAAGGCCCACTCGCATGCCATCTTCTTTTCGTACTTCAACGGCACCTCCCACCCACTGGCTTTCTTGTACGACGTCTCGGGCATGTTCTTCACGTGGGTGGCGATGCAGTACGCTGGTGTCGCGTTCGAGATCTTGGACGTGCGTCGTTGCCTGGCCATTTGGAGCTCGTGGTACTTCCTCCCACACGTTGTGAGCGTTGGCCTGCTGGTTTTCTTCAACCTCTTCCCGCAGCGTCGCTCTGCTCCCAGCGAGAAGAAAACGCAGTAAGACGATCTCCAAGAGCAGCAGAACCTTCGGCTGCTGACTGTGGTGAATCAAATAGATCCATTGCCCCACCAACGTCTTTTTTTCACTGTATGTCTTTGTATGAGACTGAGCAGGTACAAGAAGACGTGGAAATTTATTTTTATTGTCTATCAATGACTAGGAAGCTTACTACGTTGCAGTCGTCCAAGTTTACCAAAGCAGTTACCGCTTCGAGTTGTTTCCGTCGTGGCCGGAGCGTTCGAGCTTGGTCTGGTCTTCGCATTCCTTTGATCGGGTCAGCCCGTCGTCAATGTGGCGAAGCTAAGAGCCTGTCTCAATAGATTGTTCAAGTGCTATCGCGTATGCCGTAGGGGCTGTAGGTTGTCGGAAGAATGTCTGGATTTCGCCACCGTCGCCATCGTATGGCCAACCCTCCTCGAAATGGTCGTGCGTTATGGGGCGCGCTCAAGAGGAATTTACCGTCATACGTCGGACGTCGAAGGCGGCACGCGCGACGTCTGTTGAAACCTCGTTATTTTATCGACCCCGAAGCTTCTGCCAAGAGAATGTGGGACTTACTGCTCACTTTTCTCGTACTTTACACCACTTTAGTGGTGCCGTATCGTGTGTGCTTCCAAGTGGAGGCAGGAGGCGGCTTTGCCGTCGTGGAGACGATGATGGACGTGGCGTTCTTCGTCGACATCGTCTTTAACTTCATCACCGGTCTCCAATTACCTTCCGGCGAAGTTACTTACAATTTCCGCGTCATTGTCAAGGCGTATCTGCGTGGCTGGTTTACTGTCGATTTCTTCTCGACGCTCCCGTTCGAGTCGCTTGCAAAGCTATTCGGAGTGGGGAATAACGCGCATGCTGCTCTTCTATCGGCAAAGTTACTGCGTGGACTGAAAGTGCTGCGATTGTTCAAGCTGGCTCGGATTCGACGTCTGGGGAAAGTTTTCGCCAATCTGGAAGATGCAGTCTACACGAACCAGAGTCTTATTTCGCTGGCAAAATTGGCACTTACTATGCTCTTCATCGCACATCTTGTGGCTTGCCTGTGGTATGCTATTGGGAAGACAGACTCAGAGGAATCCTGGTTGATCAGTATTTCACTGGATCCAGCGGGTGTCGTTACTGATACTGACTCGCTTCAGTATGTCAGGTCCATGTATTGGGCTATCGTTACAATGGTAAGGTATTGTCAGTCTTATTGTGATTCGTATATAACCAACTAACGGCGCTTTGTTGTTAAGACGACGATAGGATACGGTGACATTGTAGCACACAGCAACAATGAAAGGTTACTGAACATCGCAGTTATGGCCGTGGGGGTATCGTTCTTTGGTTATGTCATCGGTACAATCTCGACCTTAGTGACAAACCTCGACGTCGCAGCTGCGCGATATGATGAGCGGATGACGGTTGTTAAGGAATACATTATCTCGCGTCGTATGCCCAAGTACATTGGCAATAAGATCCGTCACCATTTCGAGTATTTCTACCAGAATCGCTCAGTTTTTAAGGAACGTCGGATACTTAAACGACTCCCATCTGCGCTCCGGAACGAAATGGTAAGTCTGAGGTGTTCTGTCGTAGCATTTAGCAAAGGAAGCTCATGTTTTTTTTTTTGCTTAGATCCATCACGTACACTCAAAAATCGTGTCGAGTATCAAATACTTTGTAAACTGTCCCGAAAGCTTGATCAGTGACATCGTGATGGCAATGCGTCCATTTGCTGTGCTTAAAGACGAGTATATATACGTCGAGCACGAGATTGCGGCGCATGTATTTTTTATCATAAAGGGAAAGATCCAATTGGTCAAGACAGTCAGACGTGGAAAAGAAGATAAACGTCTTGCAACCATGAGTGTGGGGGATCACTTTGGCGAGGTTTGTGGTCGCAATTTTTTCCTTAAGCATTTTTACTAATCAGATATACTTTTGTTGATTTTTTTTAAACAGCTGGAAGTGTACGACCATGAGCACGGCAACGGTGTGCGTATCTGTTCGGCTGTGGCAAAATCTTACAGTGAGCTCACTTTTCTCTCTCGGGAAGCCATTCAAAAGATCAGTAAGTATTCCGACGTGTTCTATGGCTGGAGCTGGAATCTGACCTTCTTTTATTGTTTTTAGGCGTCAGTTGGCCCGAGGTTATCAAACATTTCCGTGAAACTGCAGCAACGATCGCGAGCAGTATGTGGCGGCGCGTGGATCCTGCAGTTTTTGACACAAGTATCAAGCCCGTCCCGCTCATTCCTGTTTATCACAAAAGCGTTGATATCCCGGATGTGGTTGCCAAGACTTCTATAATGAACAGCAAGGTTAGACCAGCTCGTATCGCCCCGTTCATGCCTTCGAATGTAATCGACACGTCTCAATCGAGACCTCAGACTATAATAGAGGAGAGCAGCGAGATCGGAGATCAGCAGTCAAGCGTGACCGAAAAAACTACTTCTTCTGATGGCACGTCGACAATTGATCAGATCGATTCAACTCCTGTGCAAGAGAGGAGCAACCATGCGTGGCTAGCCTCTCCCGAACCAAGTGATCCACCTTCGATTCACGCTGTACATCCGCTTACAAGACCGTTTAGTACAATCGCCCAAGGTCGCAAAGCTACACTTGAGGCATTACCTGGCTCACCATCAGCGAAAGCAAAGATCAGTACTAAAGGAGTGACGTTCGATAGATTAGACACTCTGGATCCAAATGACGACCAATCTGGGGAAAATGACGATGACTCTGAACACAGTGAAGACGCTATCCAACCTGATTCCAACTCGTTTTCAACTCCCGAGCAACGATATGCTCCTTCTACATTATCTGGAAGTATACCGGAAAACGCACCGTTGTCGACTGAATCACAAGAGGAAATACAGCGGCATCACGAGAGAAGTTTAGCTCTTCTACAACTAGCCAGCCAGATTATCGACCAACAACCAGAAGATTTACCGCACGAGGGACGCACATCATTGGCTGGAGCCAGTAACGAGAATGAACTCCATGATATGATTGTCAAGATACGGGACTCACCACATGAACATACTAAGCGAAATCTCAAGTCCGAGCGTGTGATGCTTCAGGGAACGTATTTGTTCCACCCTCAAGAACCCGCGATCGTGTTTTGGCAGTTTTTTGTGGGTATTGGCATCGTGTATTCGATCATAGTCGTACCATTTCGATTGGGTTATGACGTCGACGCGGTCGGTGGATGGTATGTGCTCGAGATGATCATTGATGGCTTCTTCTTCGTGGATATATTACTCAATTTTCGTACCGCCTACTTCGACGACGAACGAAAACTTATTTATGATCCTCGCACTCTTTTCTGGAAATATGCCAAGGGATGGTTCCTTCTCGATCTCATCTCGACCGTTCCAATCGACGAGCTGTTCCAGTAAGTATTTAACTGTTACAATCCCTTCGTAGTGAGCTAATAGTGTTTGTGCTGTTTATACAGAGCTGCTGTGGGAACTTCTAACCAGACGTTGCGGCTGTTTCCTACTAAGCTGTTGAGACTCTTCCGAATCGCTCGATTGCTTAAACTCACTCGGTTGATTAAACTCAGTCGAGTCTTCGGTCGTGTACGCGATACGGTTCAGGTACAGAACGAGTTACACTTACATGACTATTTTGTTTTTTTTTAACTGTATTGTACCTGTACTTTTAGTTGAGCCCTTCGACAGAGCGACTTTTTAAGTTACTGGCAATTATGTCGATCTTTTGTCATTGGAGTGCGTGCATGTTCCACAGCATCATGATGATAAGTGAATCTGCGGGTTATCACAGTTGGTGTGTCGACGCGTTCTTTCCGAATGAACCACAGCTCATTGAGTGCGTCGATCTGGTTCCGGTTGGCGATCGATACATTGCAGCACTCTACTGGGCGTTTACTACACTTACAACTGTGGGCTATGGCGATGTAAAGCCCAGTCTCCATTCGCCGTACGAACTGGTCGTGGTGATTGTTCTCGTGGTAGTGAATGCCACTGTTTTTGGTTACATTGTCTCGTCAGTCATGACACTCATCCAGAATTTAGACCCAAGTGACCGTGAGTATCGACTGCTAATGACTGAGATGAAAGATTACCTGCGCGACGCGACTGTCAGTGAGCGTCTGTGCACTAATGTCAAAATGGTAGAACTACCTGTGTAGTGTAGTGCGCAATGTGCACTCAGCATTAAACTAACTTTGCTTTTATTGTATGCCCAGCACTACCAACATCACATTGCATGCACTAGCCTCTTCCCCGAACAAAAGGTGCGATAGTAGGGCATTTAATCATCAAAGGATTGACATTAGATTCTAATATTTCGCTTCGGTATGACGCAGCTATTTGACAAGATGGCTCCAAGTTTGCGCTTTGATGTTGCTCGTCTGGTTGCGGTGGAGAATCTATTCTCAATTCCACTTGTCACAGTTATGGAGGACTCCTTCAAAGGCTTCGTATCGTACGCACTCTTCCTCATGAAGCCCGTTTGCATTCAGCGAGGCGAGACAGTGTGTCGCTGTGGCAGTCCTGGCATCGAGACGTTCTTCCTGGTTGAGGGCGAGTGCGATCTCTTCAACTCCAAGACAAATGTGGGTCGTATCATCAGGGAAAACTCGGTCTTCGAGCAGTACGCTCTAATGGCTCAACCCGAAGAACTCTATCGAACAGTTTCCACAGCTACTGCGCTTACGGGCAAGTGCATCCTATATTCTCTCACTATCCAGGATTTTAAGTAAGAACCATAACCCAAGACTATTTGTGAATCTAGGCTAACGCTATTGCTTCTTGTTCTAGGACACTGGAGAACGTCTCACCAGCAGTAAGCACGTACTTTTTGAGCCAGCTGGCGTCCGTATTGGTCGCCGACGAAATGTACTCGCTATTACCACACCAGAAGACAAATGTTCAACTCGCACTATTACGCGGTCAAAACTTCCGATCCGTTGCGGAGCAGACTCGTGGAAGGGTGAAGCTTAAGGATCTCGGTCGAGTGGCCATGGCGAATCTCTACAAGCGACGAGGTAGCGAGTGGTCCCCCGATCTTCTACCTAAACAACTGCAGATGCTCGCGGAGAAGGAACGAGCGAGTGGCGTTACAGTTGCGAATGCCAATGTGAACGCCATCGCGAATCGCCAAGCTGAAAGCGAAAACGAACAAATCGACAATTCGTCCACTGCCTCAACAATTGAACACAACGGTGAATCTGACAGCAACGTGCTCTACAACACGACGCAGTCTACCAGTGAAGCGCCTGAGACCTCAGAACGCACTAGTTCTAGAAGAACTCAAGTTGTGCACGTCATTTAGCGTTTTGTAACATAAGAAAATGCTTCGATAGAGAACACCTTTTCTAGTCGCGTTTGCAAA